TAAAATTCACTATGCATTCAGTTCTCTCACATTCACTCTGTATTGAATTTTTCTCACAAGTTAAAATTCACTCTGCATTGAGTTCTCTCACATTCACTCTGCATTGAATTTTTCTCACAAGTTAAAATTCACTCTGCATTGAGTTCTCTCACATTCACTCTGCATTGAATTTTTCCTTACTAGTTAAAATTCACTCTGCATTGAGTTCAAATTAAAATTCACTCTGCATTGAATTTTCTCACTCTCACTCTGCATTGAATTTTTCTTACAAATTAAAATTCACTTTACATTGAGTTTTCCTTACATTTTACACTTCACAATAATTTATACATTCCAGATGTACAAGCAAAAATAATGAACTTAAAACACAACTCAAATTTCATTTATTCACCAATTGGTATATAAGTTCATTACAGTATTTCAAAAAAAATAATAATAATAAAAAAGACAACTCTATGTGTAAGGTCTTCTCCTTCTTCTTCAATTATTCCTCCTCACTGGAAACGAGGTCTTCTTCTTCAATCCCCTCATCCAGGGGGGTCTGGGCCACATCGTCTTCGTCAATTTTTACACTACTGAGGTCTAAGCCTGGGAACAGCTCTTCAGCTTTACGCTTAAACATTTTCCAGCCACTGTCCCAGAACTCAACCATTTCGTGCTTATAGAAGTCTGACCGCTAGAAGCTCTCAATAACTTTTGCCTCAGTCCTGCCCCCAGCGGTCGTTCTTGATGGGCCCGTACCCCCAGACTCCTCCCTCGCCAAGCTGCTGGCAACCGCGACATCAACTGCCATCTGAAATTCAGCAGACCCCTTGAACTGATCCACTGCTGCAACACACAGACCGGAGTATACCGCCCTTTCAAAGGCTGCCTTGGCCCTCTCCTCCTCCAACTCCCTCTGCAAGGTCGCCCTTTCAACAGCCGCCTTGGCCCTCTCTTCCTGCAACTCCTTCTGTAGGCCCTCCCTCACCTCCTCTACCTTAACACACTCATCTTCCAGCTTCTTCTGCTGCCCAGCAATCTCCAGGTCTGCGTCTTCTTTTTCCTTGATCTGCTGGGCACGCAGATTTTCATTGCTGGTCATAGCCTCTTCAAATTGCTCGATGGCGACCGCGCAGTCCTTTTGAACATCTCCCAGCTTCTTCTGCTCGCCTGCCAGTTGGAACTTGAGCGACACAACCTGGCGGCATTCGTTCTCCAGCTCCAACTTGACTGCTCGCAGCTCAGCATGGGCACTCTCCCAGCCTGCACGCTCCTCCTTCAAACTTGCAAGTTGAGCCTGGGCCTTGTCTGCCTTCATCTTTGCAGCCGCCGCCTTTCTTAGCAGAGCTCCTGCTAAGGTGGTTACCTCCATTTAAGCAGAGCATAACCCCCTCAGCAACTCAGCCTCATTGAATCTGGCTACTGAGCGCACGGCTGCCTCATCCACGATCCCCACAAGGCGATCTGCACCAGTCCTAGCTGGGCCTTCTTCCCTCTACAGCCGCCCAGCCACTGCGCGAGCATGGTAGATCCCGGTCGTCAGCCCGACACCCCCTCCTTGGGGCACAAGACCCCCCTGGGGCTGTTCTCCTCCCCTTGGCTCAGGGCCAGTTGCCCCACCTTCTACTTGCACTTCGGGGGCAACCCTCGCCACCTCTGAGACGATTTCCACCATTATTGGGACGACCTCCACTCTCTCCGAGGCGATCTCCACCACTTCTAAGACGACCACCCCTCCTGGGGTCTCCTCTATTCCCCCCTTCTCTGCCTCCTTGGCCACGTTGGTCTCTTCTGCCATCACTTCCCTCCTCCTCTTCAAGGCAGGCTCTCCCTTACCCCTCCTCACCTTTCTTTTCTTCCTCCCCACACTGCCCATCTCCTTGGCCCTCTGTTTTAAAGGATCAATCGGGGGCGGTCGTGGCTTAGGCTCACCCAAGTCTTTTTCCTCCAGCAATTTTGGGCGCGATCGGTTCCTCTCCCACCCAATCGGCTTATGCAGTCGGTCATCCTGCGCCTCCTTGAACTTACTGGCTTTGGCAAGGATGGCCATATCCTCAGCCTCTTGCGCTTTCCTCCTCACCTCTAGTTTAGCCCTTCCCAGATCTCCAACGCTCGGCTGAGGGCCCAATCTTGCCGCAAACAAGGCTGAAGGTTGAACGAGCTCGTCCCACATGACCCCCTCCTTCTCCCGCCATGCCTTCACCTTCTTTATTCTCTCCTCTGCCGCTGCTGCCAGTCTTGGCTCTACAGATTTGGTGGGCACTCTCCACACCGTGCGCACCCCAGCCCCTCCATTCGCAGACACATAGAGCCACCGCGGCCTCCAACCTTTAATTGATGATGGCAGCCCCGCCACCAGACTCCTCCCTGCCTCCGCCTGCAACGTCACCCAAGTCTCTTGTTGTCTTGAGGCCTTATAACATGCGAAGAATTCGTCTACTGTCATGGCCGCCCCTTCATTCGCCTTCGGCCACGCGCTTGCACAGGCCAATACAATCTTCCACGCGTTGGGCATTAGTTGGCTCGGTGCCGCTTCCAAACGGTTCAAGACATCTACCACCACTTACGGCAGTGGCAGCCTCAGTCCTCCCTTGAATGCTTCCTTGTAAAGGGCAAACTCCCCCGGCCTTGTGTCGGATGGCCTTTCCGTTGACGTCAGCAACAATAACTCTATTTCAGCCGGCACATAGTATTTTTCGCGAATAGCCTCTAACTCCGCCGCAGTAACCGTCGATTTGTCAGCCTTCGTGTGCTAGTGATCTGGTTCTGCCTGGCTGATTGGCTTCGGAGCTGCTATCATGGTGGAAGCATGAGATTGTACCACCGGTTCCCCCACCCTCTCCATTTGCCGCTCCGTCCTATACTGCTCTGCTAACTCCACTACGTCATCATCACCAAGCGGATCCACCTTGACATTCACAACTTCTTCTTGGGCCATTTCCGTGGTATGTCTTCGAATCGCTTCGGATGCAAGTGCAAGGAAATTGAAAAAATGTTGCAGAGGTGTATCGTCAGCAACAAAGGAGTTAACACTTGGGATGTTTTGATTTTTCGCAAAGAAGTAGGTAAATCGAATAATGCCAAAAGCCCAAGGCTTGCCCGTATTCCAAGGGTCGCAATTAATTTGCGCCAGTTTGAAAACTTTTCAAAACATCCGCCAAAACTGTCTTTTCAACACCCATAATGACTTATCGTTTCATTTCTGATCCAACGCCTAATCTTCCCCCCCCCACGAGATGTTGCCACCTGTGCGACCACGATCCACTGTCTCCTCCCCTTACCCTGTCTTTTCCACTTCAAATCACCACGTGACACGCCGCCTCTTGAGCCCCGCGCCCCTCCACCTTACTATTTGCGGTCGGCCCTCCTCATGGTCGGCCTTCCTACTCGGCCAACCTTCGCGGTCGGCCCTCCTCGTGGTCGACCCTTCCACTCGGCCACGATTCGCGATCGGTCCACCTCATGGTCCTCCCTTCCACTCGGTCCACCCACTCAGTCGCCCCTGCCAGTCGACCTCCATCCTGCCAATCTCTAACACCCTCATTCTCTTCATTAGTATTCCCTTCGTTGGACTAAAGCTGCACTCGGGAATGGGGGACTACTGACGTAGGTAAGCCCATAAAGGCCATAGCCCACTATGAACAACCCAAGCCCATCACTTGGAGCCCAATACATAACCCAGCTGGTAAAGTCCAGAACAGCTGGAATCCAACGTAGCATAAAGAGCCAATGACTTTCAGACATACGGCAGGTAAAGGACAAGCCACATCAGTAGACAAAGATCTGCAAAGTTATTGTCACTACACATCACCATTAATGCAACCCATCACAGCATTTATTACAACAACACCTCTCCGTCGGAACAGCACCCCCTTACCTTGAACAAGGTAAGCTACATCATAGACTTTCGGCCAAGATGGCAGGTCGGAAGGGACAGCGAAATGATGACCAAAGGATATAAGAAAACGTTGAAGACAAGAAGAAGGTTAAGTTTTCTATCTCCAATTCATCTCTCTACATTTCATTTCTCTCTCTCTTTAACTTGCTCGTCGGAGGGTTCGCTGGGAGACTCCCCGTTTCCCATTGAACTCCTGTGCAGATTTTCTGGTGGGCTTGAACACTTAGTTACCGGTTGAAGAAGCGTGGATTAGTCCTACCCATTCCACCTGAGACCCATTGTGTAGTAACTGTATCATCAGATGTTATCCTCATTGTCTTGCATAAACAATGATCAATTAACCACTACTCAACATGTTTTTTTATTTCTCAGCATGAAAAAATAGAATATAAAACATGTTTTTATTTGTTAAAAATAGCTCACCAAAGTATTAACCCAATGTCACAGTTTTATTCGGGCATCAGTATAGTGTACCTAGTGAGATTCCACAACGGATCTCATCCAGTATCTCATGAAAATGATCATTAGCCTCTGCCCCTGTGTGACTGACTAGACTCCTCTAACCACTCAAAAACTAATACAATGGTATTAGCACTAGCACGTGACAAACAATTTTACATTACACCAAAATTAAACACATAAAAATGCATATAGATTGATAAACTTTTACAACATTTATTGTTGAGATTATATTTTGTGTAATCTTCTATATATATATATATATAAACAGAAATCATATCTTAAGCAAAAATTTTGGACCTAGTTTGATCAAAGACAACATATGATCGCATAATTTGGATAATCAAAAAAATTTGACAAGAATTGACCTTGAATTGAAAATGGGAGACTTCATAGTTAATCCATGATAGTTTAACTTCCTCGTAAGTATTCAGTGTGATTGGTGCCCCAATATTATCCAATGTATATATGTATGTAATATGAGAAATATGTGATTTCATTTTACTCAATTTTTTTTTATTTTTTAAACGACTCAATTCGAAAAAGAAAAATTATTCAGTTAATAAATTTGGACGGGCGTAAATAACTACTCAAGTCCCCATCCAGCTTTCCGCAGCAACTATTATAATTGCAAAGAGACAAAATAACAAATCCTAATTCATGATATGAAAGACTAGGTTTGGTCGGTTTGCTCTCATTATTATGACCAATTTCAAATTGCACTGCCATTGCCAGCCCCACATACATATACAACACAAGATGATCCAATAACCCCATCCATCGACTTTTGATTGGGCCCTACTTGGACCATACATATCAAACAGCAGCAAAAGCTCTTTTCCATAACATACTACATCCTCTAGAGATCCAATACATACACAAAACCACATTAAAAAGAAAAAACGAAAAAACAAAAGAGGATAATCAACGGCTAGAAATGAAAGCATGTGAATCCAAATATGATCATGATCATCATTTGGACTTGAAGGGAATTGCTCTGATCACGACCTGGTGATACAAAGCTGCGAGTGCTGCTCCAATAAATGGTCCCACCCAAAAAATCCACTGTAAATCAATCGACAAAGCAAAACAACACCACCCATTTATATGAGTAAACGACGAACAAAATCAAACCTCTCTGATTACATGTTGCTTTTATATGTATATATGTGGATTACATATAAACTATCAGCAATGTTAGGTATCATGAAAAATCTTTTATGAAAATAATCATAAAAATTTTGTGACTCTTGGATTACACTTAGAATAAAGCACCACACACTAGTCAAGGTAATTCAAGAATCATAAATCTTTCATGAATATTTTCATGAAAAAAATTCAATGACCCCTAACTTTTCACATAAACTATTGAAAAGAAAGAAAGGTTTGTGAGTGGAGCTTACATGGTCATCCCATGCGTGGTCCTTGTTGTAGACAATGGCTGCACCCAGACTCCTTGCTGGGTTGATACCTGTACCAGTTATGGGAATGGTGGCCAAGTGCACCAAGAATACCGCGAACCCAATTGGCAATGGTGCCAAAATCTGCATTCCACCATCATCTCACAGATTATCAACACCACCAACAATATCTATCTATATAAATATATGCATGTGTGTGGTATAAGTTTAAATATTGGTTAATTTGTAAAAAGCATCTTACTGATACCAATACAGTCATATGTTATTGAAATAAAATCGGAGGCAACTATACTTCGGTTCACAATATGCTGTTTGGATTATAAGCATACCGCAAGTCTTATTTTAATAATTCGAGTTAATTATTTTTTAAACCATAACATATAAACTATTTATGAAAAAAATCAGATCAATTCGATAATCATAATTACGGTAGTGTGTAGTATTTAGTTGCAAAAAATTAAATGACAAATATTATTTAAAAACTAAATCATTCATATTTTGACAGATAAATACAACAAAATAATATATATACAGTTATCAAATCAATATAATTTTTTTCATCAATAATCTATATGAAAAATGGTTGAGACCACTAATTAATGGTAGCACTAATGATGTGACAGTGGATCCCACCCACTGCCACAGTGGACCCCACCCACTACCACAGTGTTGTTGTGCCTTGTTTTTTTTTTTTTTTTTTTTTTTTTTTTTTTTAAATATATACCAACTCACTAGTGATACTTTAGAGTACCACTTTTAGTGATTTGTATCATTGCCGAATCTATATATTGTGTCTAAAACAATAACGATTCAGATTGTTGAGATTTGGTTTGCAGTATCTCATAGGCCTTCACATTATTGAAATTTGATTTGTAATATCTCATAGGCCTAAATAGCACCGTGCAATCCGTCGCCTCAAATAAAAATTATACGCATATCCATCAATTTTTGTATTTATTATTTGATAGTCAATTTACAGTTAATAGCATCGGTTTGAACTTTTTATTTTTATTTTTATTGTATTTATTATTTGATAGTCAATTTACAGTTAATAGTATCGGTTTGAACTTTTTTTTTTTTATTTTTATTGACTGATAATTTAGAAAGGTAAATACTTTCGTATAGAATTTTTACATTAGAATAATATTTTATATTTAAATGAACATTTTTATAAAATAAATAATACATAATACGTGATCAAAATAATATATTAGTGACACTTATATTAATAATCAACTTGATGATTTCTTTGTTTTAAAATAATAAGTTCATCATCCTACAGTTTTTTCACACAACTTTTTGTATATATATTTAGGCACCGTTTGGGATGATTTGGGAGCTTTTTTGACTGTTTTAGTCACAAAAGATAAAATAAACTATTTTAGCCACAACAAACAAAATATCACATCCAATCCATAATCATCGCATTCCTCTCTCACAAAAAAATTCAAAAAGTCATTCACAAACCAAGTTTTTGAGACAGACTAAAATAGTCAAAAAAATTAAAAAGTCAAAAAGCCAACCCAATTCCCAAACGAAGTCTTAGTCATGCATCACTTAATTGCTGATAATGCCAAAAAAATAATGTGTGGATGATATTTATTGAACTCTTATATAGCAGAACATACTCTCTATTTTAATTTGTTAGTTCCTTTTAAGAATTTTTAAGTTTTGTAAGGAACATATATCATTACATTTAAATTTAAAATTTAAAATATTTTTTCATTAATATTTCTATTTTTAAAAAAATTTAATAGATTTATAATTACTCAAAAAAATAATTTTAAAAAATCAAATATTTTTTACTTTTAACTTTTCAAATGCACCTATCATTTTGCAACATTCCAAAATAAAATAGTGGGAACTAAATATTTTGAGCATTTTTGTAGGCGGGGCCGGCTTGGGCGCATAGCAGGCAAAGTCGCCGCTTTGAAAGCCGGCCCTGTTTGTAGGTAACATTGGTCGTAAAACATTTGTGGGAGAGAGAACAGGAGAGGAATTTGAGCTTACAGGGACGTGGGAGTCTCTGGCACTACGCTTGGCGTCAGTGGCGGAGAAGACGGTGTAAACAAGGACAAAGGTACCGACGATCTCAGCACCAAGGCCATCGCCTTTGGTGTAACCAGGGTTAACAACGTTGGCCCCACCACCAAGCATCACGTACTTGCTGCTGCTTTGGAAGCCCTTCACCACAGCAGCTCCGCATATCGCACCAAGGCACTGCATCACCATGTAAAACACCGCCCTCGTCAACGACAATTTCCGAGCCAATAGCAGCCCAAACGTCACCGCCGGGTTTATATGCCCCCCTGTTCACATACATTAGTTAGGCAGCAATTACACTAACGCTCAAACATTTTGTATAATGAAATGTAGTATGTGAATTTAGTGTGTGTGGAACCTGAGATGCCGGCAGTGCAGTAGACGAGGGCGAAGATCATGCCGCCGAAGGACCATGCGATGCCTTGAATTCCGACCGTTGAGCACTTGGTTTTGGACTGAACTACACCCATCACCGTCAAAATGGTGATGTATAGGAAGAGAAAAGTGGCCATGAACTCCGCGATCCCAGCTCTGTAGAACGACCACGAAGTCAGCTCGCTTGGTTCGAACAGCGGCGCCGGAGGTGGCTCCTTGTAGTCCTTGTCTCCGCCCTGTGCCGCTGTCCCGATCGGTTGCCTCTCTGTGAACTTGTTGGCTCCCAATCTCACATCCTCCTCCTTGCCCTCCATCTCTCTCTCTCTCTCTCTAACACAAATCGCTACAAATTCTCTCTCTAGACTAGAGCAGTGGTGGTGAGTGAATGGTGGCTGCTGATGAAGAGGGAGTGGGGAGTGATGGGTGTATATATAGCAGGGCCTTTGCAGACGTTGAAGACAAGTGGTGCAGGCTAGGGATGGCAACGGGATTTAATGGGGTGGATATTAATTCCTCATCCCCATTCTCCTATAATAAATTTTTTTCATTCCCCATTCTCCCTTCCCCATGGGTATCACCCTCTCCATTTCTTAATGGGTATGGATTTTTTCCAACCCACTTTAATCCCCATTTTTTTTATATATATATTTAATGTTAACAACCTCCTCTTTCTTTTCTTTTTTTTATTTTTTTTTTTTTTAAGGTTCACAACAAAAGCTAAATATACATTCAATCTTATTTTATTTTATTTGGTTCAACAACAAAATCAAATAAAGCCTTTGCAGACGTTGAAGACATGTGGTGCAGGCTCCAAATCAGTCGACTCCAACTGAATTTTAGTAGGTATAAATTTATTTATTAAAATTTTAATTCGAAGGTCAATAAAAATTTAATAAATTGAACTTGAGCTAAATTGGTTTAGACTTGACTAGAATTCAAATTTATCCACGAGTTTATAAATTCATACTCGCATATGAAATTAAAATTACGATTAAAATTTTAATTATATAATTATATATACAATATATATAAATATTTTAAAAAATTAATATTTTATCAAAATAATAATATCTACTACTAATATTATATAAATGTACTATCTCTAGTTAATTATTATTTATATTTTTAAAATATATAAATAATATATTTATCTTATTTTTATACATATTTTTACATTATTTAATATATAAATAATAAATATTAAACAAACTAACTAAACTTTACAACCTTTAGAGTTATTTATTAAAAATTTAACGAGTTGATACTTAAATAAAAAAGACAAAAAAGAATTAATGAATCGAATTCAAACAAACTCTCATCGAATTGAGTTTGAACCTGTTCGAGACGAGCATGTACATTTGCAACCCTGAGTGGTGTGACCAAGTGATGTACATAAATCATTTTAATTTTGTTATCCTACGACCGACCACTCATAATTCATTTCTTTCATTAGTATAGTAGAAGGACTAAAATACCCTTTGTGCGATTCATGAAAACGACGTTGCTTTGGTCGGTTGGGCCATTTATTCTTGTGAGGCTAAATCCTAGCTGGCAAATTCTCCTCCACACATCTGCAACGTTCATATGAGGCCTGCCGGCCCAACTTCAGACTACATATGGAAAAAAGGAAGTTTGGTTTGGTACTACTATTGTTGCCAAAAGAAATGTAATTGTCACCGTTTATTTTAGGAGTTTAATTTGTCTACGGTGTATGATCGAGATAGGTTGGTGTTGTTTGAATTTATTTTGTTGCCGTTTGACAAGTCGGTTTGGAGTGGGTTGGTATTAAAAAAATATAAAAAATAAAATAAAATATTATATTTAAATTATAATTATATTCAGTAGGTTTGGTTTCAGTTTTTTAAATTCAGATTTCTAAAAATTTAATTTTTTATTTTTCGTATTTTTTTGTTTTTAGTGAACATTTTTTAAATTTTAAGTAATTTTTTTAGCTTTTTAGATACACTTTACTTAGATGTATCTGAAATAGTAAAATATTTGTGAAAAAATATTTTAAAAAATTAATAAATAAACAAAAATATAAAAATATACTGAATTTTCATACTTTTTTATTTTTTGGTATTTAGTGTATTTTTTAAAAATTTTTCACAAATATTATACTTTTTAAGTGTATTTATGTTAGGTGTGTCTAAAAATTAAAAAAAATGCTTGAAATATTAAAAAAATTCATTGAAAACATTAGAATACGAAAAATAAAAAAGTAAAATTTTTTGAAAACTATTTTTTAAAAACTGGAACTAAACAAGCTGATTATTTTTTTTAAAAAAAATTTAAAAATCAAAAAATTCTTTCCAAATAGAGTTAATTTAGTTATGTTAAATAAGTAAAAAAGTCAGACTAAAAAATTCTTTTCAAATGAACCCTTTGTTTTTTTTTTTAACATTATTTATTAAAAAAAATTAAGATCTGATAATTATAACCTATTCAATTTGCCACGTTTGTCACCAAAAAAATGGAGGACAATGCTTTTTTTAAAAATAAATTATATATTTTTTTAGTGACAAATACAATAAATTGAACAAGTTACAATTATCAACTTAATTTTTTATATGAATAATATACATAAAGAGCCTTACAAAATAAATAATTTAAATCATTAAAATAAACCTCATGGAGTAGTAAATTTTATAAATCCAGACAACACCTCTAATTCAAATAAAAAAGTCCAGTCCATATTTTTATCTGATACATCAGTCAAATTGTCAATAAAATTATTAATATTGTATTAACAAAAAGGATAAATATAGCATTATATTAAAATATAATAATGTAAATTATTGATAAAATTGATTTTATTCATATAATGTGAATAAAACACGACTTTTCCTTAGTTGAAAATAATAACGATATATATATAAATGTATTGACTGTAAATAAATTGAACAACTATATTGCTGTTGGTAATTGAAAAATAATATTTCTCATTAAATTTTATTTAGATATTTTATTATTATTTTATAAAAAATAAGTGCAAAGAAGATTTTCATATAATGGGACAGATGTGAGACAAAAGGTCAGCTCCTCATATGTATGAGTCTAACATATTTGTCTCACATTTATGTTTTATTTTATATTTTATATTTTTCATATTTATACCATAATGTTAATAAAATAAAACTTTTTTTTCAATAAATTGACTTTTTAGTCTCACCAAATGAAACGTTAGCAATAACTAAAGTTTGTTAAATTTTTTTAATATTAACACCTTAACATGAGAAAATTTAAGAGAGCCGTAAAGCCCAACACAGGTCTTATTTTGACAATTTGAACGTTCACTTTTTTCAGTGAATAAAATATTAAAGCAAAAAATGAGATGATCGGATATCAGTAATTATATGTTTGAATCAAATTTGTATTACAAAAATGGATGGTTATTCTTAAAATATAATTTGTCGTCCATTTTTTTAAAACAAATATAATTCAAACATATAACTACTGATATCTAATCATCTTATTTTTTGCATAAATATTTTACTCAACAACTCCATAAAAGTGAATGGTTCATACCACCAAAGGCCTACCAAATCCAAAAGGTCTCTCAAATTGAGATGACAACATAAAAAATGACAAACCCTTGTATTGAGATGTGAACATGATTTATGTTAAAATATAATTCTTTTAGCAAACCAACATAATTTTTTTTTTTTTTATTTTTTTGAATTAGCTACGTGTTATTTTTAATCATAGCAATCATTATACTTCATTGTTTGAAAAACTCAAACCAAATTATGTGTTTTTGCTGTGTTTTTGGCAATTAAGTTAAAAGTCAGCTTATTAATTCTTTGATTTTTTTTTATCACATTATTTCTTTATTTTTTTTTGCATATTTTTTCAAAAAAAAACTAAAAAATTAGCTCTTAACCTATATATTTTTATATCATATTATATTTATTACTGAAAAAATTAGTGAAACGTCCTTCTTAAACTTTTTATAGTAGGAGAGGTCTAAGATGTTTTTTTTATTAGTTAAGGTCCCTCAATATTTTCACATAGAAAATTCAACTCAAAGAAAATTTGCTCGAGTCATAGAAATTTCGCACGACTCAGAAAAATTTCGGCCCCGACTCAGAGAAAATTGAAATTTCTCTGAGTCGGATAAAATTTTTTGAGTTAAATTTTCTCTGTAAAAATGTTGAGAAACCTTAACTACTGTAAAAATATTGTATGTTATTTATCTTATAAAATCTTAATATTAAGGACTTTAAAAAAAGTTTCTTTTTATTATTTTATTTATCAAAATAATATTGGAATAATAAACTCAGTATTTATATATATATATATATATATATATGTATATATCAAATGTAATATTGAAAATTAAATTGATATATCAAACGAAAAAGACATATACTTACAAGTGTCCCATAATTATTGTTTAATATTAAAAAAAATACAAAAACATGTTTTAGAAATGTTCAAAAAAAATTGAAACAAAGCTTAAAATTAATAAAAAAAAAATAACTTAAATTTTAATTTTCTCTTCTTTCTTTTTTAAAAAAAATATCAGGACACTTGTTAACCCAATTCAATGACAAAATATGATAGCAAAAATTGATAATCATTATAGCAATATTCTAAAATATACTCCATCCATCCCATATTCATAGTCCTTGCTGAAAATTTTAAACTTTTTAAGAAAACATAATCATTATACTTTGAATTCAATTTTTAAAAGTTTAATTTCAAAAATACTTTTCTATTCTCATTTTTAAACATATTTATAGTTACTTTACAAGTGGTAATTTTGAAAAAAAATTAATTTTTAATTTTGACTTTTCAAAATAGATATGCATTTTGAGACAATAAAAAATAAAAGAATGGATCAACAAAATACAACCGAAGGAGAATATAGATTTGAATACTTGGAGCTTTTACTTGGACGTGTGGTGAGTTGGATGGATATGATTTGGGCAGGCGGCAAACGGAGAGAGGGTGTTGTTGTGGTCACAGCAGTTATCGTTGTGCTTTTGGAGAGGATTTTTCAAATGTTTTTTTGATAATTTAAATCGTTTTTATTGTAAGGTTCGTCAAGTAAATTATTCATAAAAAAAAATTAAGTTGATTGGATATTTATAACCCTATAACCAAAGTACATTTGTTTATATAAAAATTAACAGTTAACATAACTTTCATAAATTTTTAAAACGGTGCCACTACATAGCTCAAAAATGTGATGTTTCGAGAGGCCCGAATTTAGTTTTGTACTCAACTTGTTGCTGCTGGTCAACACACCCAGACATTTCATTTGGACAAAAAAGAAGAAAAAAGAAAAATAGAACAGAAAGAGAGAGAGAGAGAGAGAAGAGCACCGTATGGTAGAACAGAGAGAGAGAGGTAGCTATTACCAAACACATTTCTGCTATGGTGAACTGATTCCATTTTTTTTTTTAAATGAAAACAACCTTGCTA